TTCGCATTTAGTTCACACGCATGTAAATATGTTTGCCTCTTAGCCCCGGTAACTGCGTTTGTAAATCAACATGGCAGCATCCGTGCAAAAGGGACCGCCCGCTTCGATCCGAACTTGTTTTGCCACGCCCCCACTGCGCTGACAGCAACAAATTAATGGTGAAATCCACCATCAATTCGTTTCATCTTACTCTGAGGATTAAACATCAAGTATGTGCTGTCGTTATTGGCGAGATATGCCACTTGCTTAGCTGCACGTGCTAAGACTAACGCGCCAAGGCAGGGCTTGGGCTGCGTGGCCAGAATAAGAACGCTGCGTCATCAAACATGGGACATGGAACATGGCACAGCGTTTCATGGGCGTCGGATTCTCCTTCGATGGAAACAAAAAAAAGAGAGAGAGAAAAGAAGCATTGCAGTGGGAGACGCGAAGGAACGCGTCGACGGAGAAGCTGTTATACGAGAGCCACGAAAAGCGTCGGAGAGAAACGGGCACAAAGGGGAGTTATCCGCCGGCATGAGCAGCTACTGATTTTCAGCATGCAGGGCAACAAATCCATGCTTCCGGTTCCTGGCGTCACTGTTTGTTTCACAGTTTTACTGTCATCATCATCATCATCAGCTTGGCTACGTCCACTGCAGGACAGAGGCCTCTCCCATGTTCCGCCAGTTAACCCGGTCCTGTGCTTGCTGCTGCCAATTTATACCCGCAAACTTCTTAGTTTCATCTGCCCACCTAACCTTCTGTCTCCCCCTAACCCGCTTTCCTTCTCTGGGAATCCAGTTAGTTACTCTTAATGACCAGCGGTTATCCTGTCTACGCGCTACATGCCCGGCCCATGTCCATTTCCTCTTCTTTATTTCAACTATGATATCCTTAACCACCGTTTGTCCCCTAATCCACTCCGCTCTCTTCTTGTCTCTCAAGGTTACACCTACCACTTTTCTTTCCATTGCTCGCTTCCTCGTCCTCAATTTAAGCTGAACCCTTTTTGTGAGTCTCCAGGTTTCTGCTCCGTAGCTAAGTACCGGCAAGATACAGCTGCTACTATACCTTCCTCTTAAGGGATAATGGCGATCTACCTGTCATAATTTGAGAGTGCTTACCGAATGTGCTCCACCCCATTTTTATTCTTCTAGTTACTTCAATCTCGTGGCTAGGCTCCGCGGTTATTACCTGCCCTAAGTAGACATAGTCCTTTAGAACTTCAAGTGCACTATTACCTATCTCGAAGCGCTGTTCCTTTCCGAGGTTGTTGTACATTACTTTTGTTTTCTGCAGATTAATTTTAAGACCCACCTTTCTGCTCTCGTTGTGTAACTCCGTAATCATGAGTTGCAATTCATCCCCTGAGTTACTCAGCAATGCAATGTCATCGGCGAAGCGCAGGTTACTAAGGTATTCTCCGTTAACTCTTAACCCTAACTGTTCCCATTCTAGGCTTCTGAAAACCTCCTGTAAGCACGCGGTAAATAGCATTGGGGAGATTGTGTCCCCCTGCCTTACACCCTTCTTGATTGGTATTCTGTTGCTTTCTTTATGAAGCACTATGGTAGCAGTTGATCCCCTGTAGATTTTTTCCAGAATGTTTATATACACTTCATTTACGCCCTGATTCCGCAGTGTCTGCATGACGGCTGATATTTATATTGAATCAAACGCCTTCTCGTAATCTATGAAGGCTATGTATAGTGGTTCGTTATACTCTGAGTAATTTCTCTATTACCTGATTGATAGTATGAATGTGGTCAATTGTTGAGTAGCCTGTTCGAAATCCTGCTTGTTCCTTTGGTTGATTGAATACTAATGTTTTCTTTACTCTGTTAGCAATTACCTTTGTAAATAGCCTGTACATTACAGAGAGCAAGCTGATCGGCCTGTATTTCTTTAAGTCCTTGTCATCTCCTTTCTTATGTATTAAGATGATGTTAGCGTTCTTCCAAGACTCTGGTACCATTCCCGTCAGGAGACACCTCGTAAACAGGGTGGCTAGTTTTTCTAACACACTCTGTCCTCTATCTTTCAGCAGATCTGATGTTACCTGATCCTCACCAGCAGCTTTGCCTCTTTGCATGCTCTCCAGAGCTTTTCTGACTTCTTCTATCATTACTGGTGGGGTGTCATCTGGGTTACTGCTAGTTCTTATAGTATTAAGGTCGTGCTTGTCTCGGCTACTGTACAGATTTCTGTAAAACTCCTCCGCTATTTTAACTATCCTATCCATATTGGTACTTATTTTGCCTTCTTTGTCCCTTAGCGCATATATCCGACTTTTGCCTATCCCAAGTTTCCTCTTCACTGTTCTGAAACTTCCTTCCGTTTTTCAGAGCTGCGTTCAATTCTCTCCATGTTATACCTTCTTACATCGCATACTTTACGTCTAATAATTAACTTCGAAAGCTCTGCCAGTTCTATTTCATCTCTTGTACTTGACACTATCATGATTTGACGCTTCTTACTTAGGTTCTTCGTTTCCTGGGAAAGCTTACCAGTGTCCTTTCTATCTACCCTGTCCTCCAACTTCCACTGCACACTCCGTAATGATACTCGTCAGATTATCATTCATTGTATCTACGCTAAGGTTGGTTTCCTCACTAAGAGCCGAGTACCTGTTCTGAAGCCAGACTCTGAATTCCTGTACTTTCCCTCTCAGTGCTAGCTCATTGATTGGCTTCTTGCGTATCAGTTTCTGTCGTTCCTTCCTCAAGTCTAGGCGAATTCGAGACCGTACCATTCTATGGTCACTGCATCGTACCTTGCCAACCACTTCCACATCCTGCACGATGCCTGGGTGTGCACTCATTATAAAGTCTATTTCGTTCTTATTTTCGCTATTAGGGCTCCTCATGTCCACTTGTGGTTTCCTCGTTTTCGGTAGAAGGTATTCAAACTCCGTAAATTACTGCGTTCTCCAAATTCTACTAGTAGCTATCCTCTGGCGTTTCTAGTGCCGATGTCATAATCTCCTACTGCCTGGTCTCCAGCCTGCTTCTTCCCTACCTTTGCATTAAAGTCTCCCATCAGGTATTGTATACTCTGTTTCTACCTTACTCATTGCCGATTCCACGTCTTCATAAAAGCTTTCAACTGAACCGCCATCATGGCTGGATGTAGGCGCGTAAGCCTGTACTACCTTCATATTGTATCTCTATTTAGTTTAATTACGATACCTACCATCCTTTCATTAATGCTATAGTATTCCTCTACGTTGCCAGCTATGTTTCTGTGAATTGGGAGCCCCACTGCCAGTTCTCTTCTGTCTGCCAAGCCCCGATAGCAAAGGACGTGCCCATTCTGTAGCACCGTATAGGCCTCATCTGTCCTCCTAACCTCACTGAGCCCTATTATATCCCATTTAACACCCTCTAGCTCCTCGAATAGTACAGCTAGACTTCCCTCACTAGATAAGGTTCTAGCGTTAAACGTTGCCAAGTTCAGGTTCTAATGGCGGCCTGTAGTCCAGAGATTCTTATAAGAGCACCCTCTGCTGCGTTGCAGATCTGACCGCCGCCGTAGTCAGTTGCTTCGCAGCTGCTGAGACTGAGGGCCGTGAGTTATTTGGCGTATGCATGTGGGAGGTAGTGACCAGATACTGCACCAGGGTGGCCAATCTTTCTCTGGTGAGGGAGTGCGTTCCCGGCGGTGGTTACCGGTGAGGCCGCACCTCAGGCCTCTTAGTGCAGTTCCATCAAGACGCGGTTTTTTTTCCGGTTGGGAACTGCACGGCACCGGGCACGTGGTCCGACTGTTGTTGTTTTCACAGATTCACACTGTTTTCCGCTCCTAAAATGTAAAATTTTCGTTTGTAATAGAAGTATTTGTAGCGGTTGAACTCCTTGTATCTTCACGAACAAATAGACACCACTCTGACCCTCCTAGGAGCAAAATTTCTAAAGTTATAGGTAGATATGTGCAGAGCTCACTTACCCGTGCTGCTGACGCTGGCCGCTCCCGCTCCCGCAGTTGGAATAATCTGTGTTTATTGGCTAAGAGGTGGAGGAGCAGTTCCGTTGGGCTTAATTCGTTGTGGAAGCTGTTTCGCCAAACCCAGCTCAAGCAGTGACAGCAGTCCGGCAACACTGAGTGTGTCTTCTGAATAAGCTGAATAAGTCTCTTTTGACGCTCTCAGTTGAATTGGGCTCTCGCGGTTTTTCTACGGCTATCTTCCGGATTTTAACGACTCAATTGAGACCTGATTTGTCGTCCTGGGGTGTGTAAAAGCCGAGATATGACCCGTTGTCCTCAAAGTGGCTTGGTCCCACACAAGATGGCGGCCCCCATATGGTCATAAGGTGGGAACAATTGCTTGTGGGTTTGTTTTCGCCGGTCAGAAACTGGTAAGATTGAGCTCAGAGCCCGAAATCCTCCTTCTTCGTGATTTAATAATGTTACCAATATTTGTTGTGATCTTTTGCCTTTCATTCAATCTTTGAGCTCGAGGGGGCAGGTGCTAATGTCCCCTGTCAACATGGCAGCCCCCATAGGGCGGATACACATGTTACCCACAGTTGATTTTTGGTGAAGAAAAACCGTTTTTTTTTTCTGCAGATTCAAGATAAGATGGTAGCGGCGAGGCTCCGGAACGTCCCAAGAAGAATCGAGGGTGGTTTTCCAGGTGCGTAGTAGCTTTTTCTTGCGGAATTCCTGATTTGATCGAAGTGGAGCCAGTGGCTGCTGTTTTTAGGCCTAACCGAAGTATGAGTCGTTAATTTCTGAAGTTGTAACTGATTTGGGTGGCTAAACCGTGCTCCTCGAAGTGCTCCGAAGCCTCATAAAACCATGCGAGGAAATTTAGATTATTACTCACAGTTTTGACGGAGATTTGAGGTCCGAAGGCTGAGCTGTTGTGGAACCGCTCAAGCAACACGGGCCCCCTCGTTTTACTGTAGTTTTAGGTTAATAAACCAGCCATATCTGCAATGAGTACGTATAGACAACTCGTCGAACAGATGTCGTGCAGACAGTGAGCAGATGAGAGGCTAATTGCCATTTCTATTGACTTAGGGGCCCTGTAGCCTCCACATCGCTGAAGGGTAGGGTGCCAAGACGTCTTGGCTCGCCAGCGAGATGAAGCAGACGCTGAGCGAGCCACGGCCTCCTTCTGATATGGCCTCCTTCTGATATGATTTCGAATTTGGCCATGTGTGGCACCACGTGCGTTTGACGCAATGCAGCTTGCGTTTGACCCAGTTCTCAAACACTTCCAATCCTGCGAACGCAAGAGCAGCCTACACAACGCAGCCGGGGAACCCTGTATTTTGGGTACCTCAAAATCTGTAATGTGGACACTACGCCGCTGCTTGCCCAGCGATCGCGCAGCGTGCTTACCGCTAGTGTGCGCGTACTTTTCCTGGCTGTCACTGGCGTTGCGAGGGTTAGCGAAGCCGATCGCGTTCGCAAATGGCGACGACAACACTGACGAAGCGCGAGCCAGGCAAGCCGAACGCAAGCCTCGGCCATGGAAAACGAGCGACAACGACGAGGTGCGAGTCATGAACACTGGTCGCGTTCGAGACTACAGATGACGCACCAGTAACACCGACGAGACGCAAGCCATGGAAGCCCAGCGCAAGCGTCTTCAACGCTTCCCGCCTCCCATGTGTTTGCGTTTCAAACAAATGTTTACTCGAGTAAATGCTATACCGAGTGTCGCTTCAATCCGTTCTTCCAGCACCCACGTCGACGCCTGTTTCAACCGGGTGAACGCCGTGCGCAAAGCTGCTGCTTCGCACGGCTTCCTTTTGGAGAGATAGCTCATAGCTTTTTTTTTTGCAGGTACTCATTCACGCTTCATTGTCTTCGGAGTGCAATGCTAAGCTGGAATGCAGCACGCTAAGGCGCGGTACGAAAAAGAAGAAACAAGAGCCTCTACGCACTTTTTTTATCGTCAATTCGATAATTTTCACGCTTAAATTTACTTTCCAAACAACGTAAAGAATGAACGATTCCCGAAAAATGATTGCACCATCTTAGAACAATGTTGTGTTCTCCGATTCCCGCAACGTCATTTGCTGAGAACAAGCGAGTGCTAAACCATGCACGTCCAGTTTTGCGAAATAATTTAGCACATACTTAAGAAGCTTCTTTTGTTGCGTTTCTGGTTAAGGAGACACCTATTATCTGTAAAAGGACCAGAACGCTGTGGAGAAAAACGAAGATATTCAGAAGTCTACCGGCTGAAAAGGTCGTGTTTCTGATAGAGTTTATGTGGAACAATGGATTCCCATTAATCCATGTGAATAGCGCCTCATTCTTTAAATTTACGTGTTAGTATAGGAGAACCATAGACCTCTTTGTGGCTAATTTGTCACGACAAAAATGAAAAGAAATAGAAAAGAAGGTGCCAGAGGTTTTCAATCATTATAGAAGAACCAGTATTCCAGCAAGCACTTTCTGCTTGGCCATTGTACTTGCGCGAACCACGTTTTATTTCCACTTGTCTTTCATGCGTACATTAGCGAAACATCGTTGAATGATATCGAGAGGAAAGGTCGTCTCACCACAGAGACACACGGGCTGCGAATGCGATTAAAAAAGTAGATCTGTTTTCCTTCTTAAGCCAGACGCATAAATAAATCATTTACGAGCAGCTTGATCCAGGCACTTCAAAGTCTCACTTTCGAAGAGTATAGAATCAGGCGTTACAGGGCATTCAATTATGCGATCGTCAAATATTTAGCGACGCCCCATTCACGGCGCAACAGTTGAACGTCTTAACTTGCCAGCTTCCACCACATTCGTAAGAATGACTCAGAAGTGAACAGGACAGAGACGACAGGGAGGAAAGACAGGAGAACGAGAGGATGGCAAGATGTGTCGCCGTTACCATGGCGACCTTAAAGCGGCTCTGCGAGACTTTCTGAGCATAGTCAGAAAACGCGGCCGATCGGTAGTACAGGCTCCTGAGAACACGCGCACAAAATATTATAGCGCAGCACACTGCCTGTAATTCACAATAGATTATCAAAATAGGCTAAAATTGCTGTCTCTTCCCTCGACAAATGACGGAAGACATTGAAAAACACACGTAGCAAGTCCATCTAATAGCCATTGGCTTATTTGAACATGACATGCTAGGCCATTACAGCGATCGCCACTGCAGGCCGTGACTTGTCCACGCGTGCGCGCGCGATCACACTGAAAAGCAGCCAAATCGAAAAAGGAGAAAAGCGCCCTAGGTCATAAGGCACACGTGACGCTTTTTTTTTAAGTGTGAATACACTTTATAAGCGACCCCAAACCATCCACCGCCGTCGGCGGCGTCCGCAGTCTTCTCTCTATCTTTAAAAGAAAGAGGACTTGGCGGGCCGCAGCGCGACGCTCTACCGAATAAGCCACGGACTCGACGCTGATATCGGTGTCAGTAACGCGCCTTATACCCCCTCCCCCTTCGCTCGCTCCTCCGCTCTCCTCGCTCGCTGCAGCTGCGCGCGCACCCTTCTCTCTCGCGTGCCCGCCTTCTCTCTCAGTCTCCCGTCGAGAGCGGGTCATGGTTGGGAGTAAAGTTAAAATCCGTTGGCATTCGCCAGTGAGTTAACGTGAACTCCCCCGTGTGATAAAATTGCGATTCCCAGGAACAATTACACCATAAAGGCACCATAGTGTGAATAATAAATATAATAGTGCGAATTAATAAATACCCCTCATAGCATCACCCCGTGTATTCGCACTTAACCATGTTCACCCTCGGGGAAATGCTTGGGAGTTTTTTGCCGTTCCCATCTCTCCCTGCTTAGCTTCCAGCGCTTTCGTCGGGACGAGAGAAGAGAGAACGCGATTGAAGCGTGCGACAAATATTCGTAACTCCACTGCTACTGGACGGTATCTGAAAGTTTTTGCGACGCTGAATTTGTGAGGCAATAAGCTCTTTCAGTGAGTCCATCCCATAGTTACTTGATAACAGTTTGTCAGGGCCCCTTTAACAATAGGAGGGTCCACGTATAGGAAGCGAAAAAAAAAACCGCGTCTGCCGCGGCGAATGCAAAAGAAAACAAAAAAAAAACGCCCGCGAAGCTTAATTGACTCCTTTCCTATTTATATTAAAGCCTTGTCACAGTTTCGCCCCGTGTACAGAATTAGGTTATTTCCAAAAGTTTATGTGTTTCTTTTCCTTTCTTTTTATCCGGTCGTTGTCTTCTGTGTAGGCTGAACGGGCAGCTTGATCAGCCTGTTCATTACCGATAATTCCACAACGGCTTGGCAACAACTGAAATCTAACGTGGTGCCCTTTCTCTGTTACATGGTGTAGCATTTCTGCTGTCCTAAATACCAACTGCTCGTGTGGACCACGGCGTAGATTTGACAGAAGTGGCTGCAGTGCCGCCTTGCAGTCGCAGAAGATCATCTAGCGTTGCGTGCTTTGGCCGTTAATAAAACGCAGCGCGAAGTGCTTCATGCTCTGCCTCAGTTGATGTGGTTGCATGAGCTGTCCTGAATTTTATGGTTGTGGTGTGCTGGAATAACGACCGCCGCTGTTGAGCTGTTTGGCAGGACGGAGCCGTCGGTGTAGACGTGGGTGCAGTCTTGGTACTTCTCGTACAGCAGAAGTAAGGCGAGCTGCTTAGCTGCTTGAGGGCTGGCATTGAGAAACCTCGTTGTTTTTTTTAATGCCTGGTATTGCCAGCTTGATGACTGGCTGTTTGAGGCACCATGGAGGAATTGAAGGTCTCGCCGCGGGCGTAAAACCAGTTGGTAGGGAGTCACCATGTGTAGTTATTGTTCGACAAAAGAAAGTATGAGGTCTATCCGCTGGTAGAGAGGCTACGGGGTGATGGGGAGTTCGGCCCACATGCCTTATGTGTGTCCTCAAAGCTTCAATTTCAATATGGGTCTGCACGAGGTGCTCTTTGGCTAAAGCTATAGTCGCCACTGTTTAGGCACCCTGAAGGAGACCTAGACAGATTCGAAGCGCCTGTGCCTGAACGCTTTGTATCATGCGTCGACCTGTTTTGCTGGCCTTTGATAATGCAGGCAGACTGTATTGTAGAATGCCAAAGAAAAGCACCCTGTACAGTCGTAACATATCATTGCGTTGCATTCCCGATGTCTTTCCAACGAAAAAATTGAAGAGAAGGCATATTCCCGTCGATTGCTTTTTCAAGTACAACACATGAGTGCTCCATGATATGTCCCTGTCGATTATGACACCCAGAATTTCGTGAGATTTACAATATGGTATATATTTGATTATTAATTGACACATTATAATTTCGTCATGGGTTTGCGCGTTAAATACAGAAGATCGCCCTTTTGGAGTGAGTTTCTAGGCCTCGATCACGGAGGTACAAAGCAATTGCAGTAGAGCAGCTCTCTGGATTCTCGCTCGTAACCGCAGGCGAGTTACCGCAGATGTCCAAATGCAGATGTCATCTGCGTATGTTGATAGACAAATATTGTTTCGTAAGTGCGTATGGAGAGCGATCAGTGTTTGATTGGATAGCACGGGGCTCAGTACCCCACCCTGAGGGACGCGACGACAACTGAAATGTGCAGAGTTGTTTTCCGCCTCCACACTTACAGAGAAGGATCCGATTTGGAGATAGATGCGTATCCACGTAAGCATTATCCACTTAACGAAAACGTTTCTAATCCCAATCCTTTCGTTGCACGCGTGGGGATTGATTTCTTTTTACTGCGTTAACATGAACTCGAAACGTCTGGCAGTCTCCGGTGCTGCTGAACTATGCAGGGCACAATGCTGGCGCAGTACTGCCTGTGCGTTCATGGCAAATCAGGTCAAGGAATGCTGCCGGCCAACGGCTGACATGCCTCCCCAAACTTACGAAACAAAGTAAAGAAAAACAAACTAAAACTGCCGCGCAAGTGATTCTTAGCGCGGTCCTACAATGCTATAAATGAATCTTCCCTTATCGCAATAAGCGGAGTTGCTCCCATTGAGAACGCATATCCCGGTATGAACAGCACAGGGGACTTCAATGTCCTAATGCTGGCAAGATCATCTTAATCGCCTTTTCTAATTACAAAAGCTTCGCAATTTTCGACATTCATGATTGTGAATTCCATTAGGGAAAGCAAAAATAGCTTGAAAGAACGCCGTGCTAATGGATGAACGTCGAAAATGATTCTATGTGTTCGGAAATGTTTAATCGTTCGCGAATTACACTCGCTTGCACAATATATTCCACTCTGTTCCTTTTACTTCCCTGCTTAACAAAATTAGTTCCTATATGCTAAGCATCTAAGAGAGCG